AACTTATTTTGAAACATTTTATATTAAGGGTATTTTAGGTAGTTTATATGTTTGAATAGTGAAATGGGTTAGTTTGGGGTTGGTTTGGAATTTTGGCTTTGAATTTGGGTCATTTAGTGGTATATCCCTTTGTGTTTCAATGTTTGTGTGTTTTAAATATTTTAGGTTTAAATGATTAAATGTGAAAAAATTATAACGGGTCAAGGCAAATCAAGTTAGTTTTGATTGCTACACTCATAACTCGAACCGATCCATCTAATTTACGTCTAAAATTGCCCGACCTAAACCTTATGTAAACCATAAACCGACCCAACCTGACTCGAGTCAGTTCTCATTGATCAATTTCATTGAGTTCATGGTTATTATGCTTACCCCCAGAAGCAGCCAATGGGTTCTCATGGAACAACACTCTATACTCATGTACTCATTGAACTCTTGACCTCAATTATGAAAACTAGCAAGACTTGAGGAGGTCTATCTTAAAAGGTAAACATTGTTTAGAGAAATTATTCAAACTCTTACATATCGTTTAATGTACTTTTATCTATTGGATCCTGGGCAAAAATAACAATCCCAAAACAATGACAAGCCCAATTGGTTTTCATGCACATTTTATGGTGTAACAAACTTCCAGTATCAAAATAAATAATGAGGTTATGTCATGAATTTGAAGGGTATAATTAATAAAACAAAAGGCTTAAAAGCATGTTTCAACCATGTTTATAAAATGTTTAAATTATAAATAGATAAAAAAAGAGTAGTAAATGGTACTTGTGGATTCCTCTAAATATGTGAATAAAAAATGATTTTGAGTATTATAGATTGTTTATAAGTTACATGCCTTTTTGATTTACAATTTTTAAAGTTATACATACATTTTACATGCCTTTTTGATTTACAATTTTTAAATAACCATTAATTGTCAAAGTTCAGATTGTCACTGTTTATACAAGTTACTTAAATTTAGCCCCTGTTTGGGCCACATTATTTTTTTCATTCTCATTCTTCTACTTATTTTCAATCACATATTTTTCAATAAAATAATATTTTCTATTACATCAATAACTTTTCCTTCTTTTTCAACCATAGATTCTCCATCACATCACTTCAAAAAAATGCATTCTTTCATTTTAACGTGTACCAAACGGGAGTTTACTTTTGTTTCTAAACGTTATTGTTTAAATTAATTTATTAGTCCCTGTTTGTCTACAATTATTTCAAAAAATTGTTTGATATAGTAAGATTCTCCATTACACATTCAACCAATAAAATATTCTACACACAAATAAATAAAGTTACTTTAAATTTCAACCACATATTTTCCAAAAATTATTATTCATTACTCTATTTTTTTTCCCAATAATGGGAGACAAACACACCCTTAATTGTAAAAATAATTGAAAATTGAAGACGATGATCATGATGATGTCCATAAGTTAGAGGTGTTAAAATGGGGGAGTTCGACCTGACTCAACAAGATTGTCGTTGACTGCTCAATAAGGTGCCAAGCCACTTGGCTCGACGTTTCTGCCGCACATCACATAGTCCCACGATTTATCAAAAGCCTAAAGTCAAAGCCCGAGCCATTCTATTCCAAGCTATTTTTCGGCCGGTTACCAGTGTAGGCTATTTATTCTCAATACTTTTAGACCATGTTCTAAAAGGCGCGCCTAGGAGCGACGCGGGTCGTAAGCACGTCGAATTCGAGAAATGCGTTTCCACCTAAAAGGCGCGCATTAGGCACGCCTAGGCCTGCACAATGAGGCCACAATGCGCGCATTATCCCGTCTAATCCTTTTTTNNNTTTTTCTTTTTTTTTTAAATCTGTTTTTTTTTATATATTAAAAAATTTTTTTTTTTTATATAAAAATATATTTAATGCCTTAAAAATACGAAACGCATTATGACGCTTATTCTTCGCATTGACACGCCTAAACTTGTGATTCTTGATTCTCGATCTCGATCTCGAAGCATCGTAACGCATTACGCATTTTAGAACACTGCTTTTAGATGGTGAAGCCTTTTTTTCCCCATAGTCGGAGGTCACGTCTATATGAAAGTATATGTCTTACCGTTCATAATATTGTTTGGAAGAGTTTTTTCAAGTGAAAAATAATTTTTTTTTTTGGAGAATGCGATAAAAGTTAAATTTTTTTTTTTTTTTTATAAAAATCTCTCTAAACAAGCTCTAAATTGAAAAAAGCGCGTAAATTTAAATTAATATGATGAAAATGGATAATATGGCCTCTAAGATGGTGGGTCTTATTTACTTCCACCTTCTTTGACAATTCTTTTCAATTTCACCGACCCTTCACCAAACACGATTGCCACGTGTCATTTCTTCATTTGTTAATACCCTCTATCCTACCACCTTCCAACCAATATTATATCGACATGCTTCGTAACACCTAAGCCACTACTTGAAGTGCATCCATGCTGTGGAATTTAATCATCCTAACGTCATAAAACGAAAATCAAACAATAGTTGGCCGAATACTGGGACCCGGTTAACTACTCTTTGTGCCCAAGCTGACCATGTCTTTGGAATTTCACCAACCCCCGACCGGGTTGGCAGGCGGTCCATCTCCAACAAACCCAAAAAGAAAAATACCACCGGTCTGAACCCGCTCCTGTATCCATCTATATATAACCCTTCAGTTCCTCTCTTTCAATCTCAGGGACACAAACAACCACAACCGCCGGAAAATTTAGAAAAACGAAAGAAATTATTCAAGAAAATGGCAGAAAACGGTGATCAGGGCAGGCACCAAGAGGTTGGCCACAAGAGCCTTCTGCAAAGTGATGCTCTTTACCAGGTACACGAAATACTCGATAACATTAAACAATATAACTTACGGGATTTTATTTCAATTTTTTCGTTTAATCCGCATTTTCTGTATGTGGGGGTATTTGATTGGTGTTTTTGTGTTACTTTAGTATATTCTTGAAACTAGCGTGTACCCGAGAGAAC